AAAACTAGGATGTTTGGAAAGCGCTTTGTAGGACCAAGTGAGCTTGCCGGGTGAAGCAACCGTCAGATATATCACAGCATGGGATATCAGCGTGGATAGTTGAATAGCAGTGAATAAGAAATTACTGCGCACGTCATGGCAGGCTTTTCCAAGAGTGAGAGGGTCAGTATAAAGGTTGAAGTAACGGATTCTCGCGCACCCAAGTCATGTTGAGAGATATATGTGCCGTACATAATCCGACTGCTTGGCAGTATTTCGCACTTGCACGACAGGCAATGACGTTTGCGATAAGTGGCACCAGAATTCAAGCGCTGACCAGTTATCGGGACACTTGATCATCCTGTCCACGGTATCGGCTCAGTGTAACACTTAGTCAACGGGATAGTTTTTTTCGACGGGGGTTTCAGACACTGGGTGAGCATCGAGAAGACATCCAGGATGACAAAGCAGGCCAGGAAAATAGATTCGAACCAGTGGCCTTATAATCGCAAACCAAGTGTGCAGACCACTCGGCCACCAGGCTTCCCGGTCACTTTTCAGGTTAGCAAGCAGTTTCGCCCTGAAATCTTTGCGAGTCTCCTGTGTTCGCTATCAGCCGGAACAAGTTAGCAAGCATCTATAAGTTCCTGAGACTGCGTAATGAGCCAATGTCCAGGTTGGCGATTTGATTTGCCACATTAAGACATAGCCGCTGTTAGCAAAGTCCGCCGGATTTTCGACCATTAATGTTCAATTGCATTCGATGAGCGCTCATTCAGCTCGGATGCCAGCGTCATCAAGTAGTGCATGAAAAGTGTGCCTGTACATTTTGAACACGAGTATTTTAACAATTCAAATAGCTGCATTGTTGTTATGTGAAACGAAATATTGAATGACAATTTCAATTGCGGGCTTCACAACTACGAGAGCGGCAGCAATGGTACGTCCGCCGCGGATAGCAAAAGTAGTTTCTACGCCACTGTATCCACGCCAATTACACCCCCATTTGTTTGCGCACGCTATTGAGTCAAACGAGAGGTCCTCCGAACACTGAAGACGGTATCCAAGTCGAACTGGACAGCTATTCGGGCCTTTCTCGGACGCAAGGTAAATTGCGCTTACTGTAGGAATGATTGCTTTTAAACAACTTCTGAACCAGCTGATGTGGGTTCCGTACTTGACAGACCAACTTCCAATCGGATAACGCATTAACGCGTCAGTGCACTCAACTACAGTGGACAAACATCGCGCAAGACGGTTACTATTAAACACGCGATTCATTCGTTCAGAGTGGGCGTGTGTTGGGTGCTTAAATTCGGGCACCGTTGTCGGGATGAGGTAACGTCGAGGGCCAGCTCCAGCACAGGTTCGTAGGGGGTAGGTGAACGTGTTTGGGCGTTTTATCGGCGCTAAGTTATAGCTTGGATAGGACCAACAAAAGAACCAGATTTGACGACTTAGTGGCGTTCACTGAACGGTTTCGAAAAGTATATTGCGCCCGGTTCCATGAGGAAAGCCCACGCAAAAATTGCGCACAGGGAGAAGCCCGCTGACATAAAAGCCCATGTGGAATAATGCCCACACGGAAAGTGCCCACATCGAAGAAGTTCAGAAAAATTGCAATGTAAAAATTTTCCTGGCTTGGCTGACTACGATGTGAAACCCTAATAGCAGGAAAATCTTATACGTGCAGTGAAAGCGTATCCCTTCAATAAACCCTTGTTCTGAACTGATCTTCTGGCTTGCCGCCATAACATGATGACGCGGAAAAACGCTTATTTTCACATTAATATATCGGGTAAATCATTGTTACTAAGGCATGCATATTGAAGTAGGTTGTAATGTCGTGGAAAAACCCAGGTAAACATTATTTGATTGTGCGAGCACTTCTCGCCAATCGAGATTACCAACCTCATCAAAGCAAAGCAAGACTAGCCACGAAAGCGGCCTGTTTACACAAGGTGGGTTTCAGCCGCCACGAACTGCAGCAAGTGAAGGACGCTCTGCCTGTTGAGTATTCTAACTGTATCACTGCAGTGCATGCCGGGCGATCGGATTAGCGGGCGGTTTGTGTGTTTGATTGCATCACCACGTATACTAACCTTCGGCAATCCAAAATATTCTCATTTAGTAGAATGAACCAAAACGCGGCCGATTCTGAGTGAAGAATGTTTGCGGTGACTCATCAGACTCAAACTTTATATCATGACGATTATTTGCTAAGCGTACCGGATAGAGCTGCGCATTGATTAGAAAATTTCATTCCAACGGAACTGATCCGAGAAATCACGGAAGGTAGCAGAGTATGCACAAGGGCAAATCACTCTCATGAACAAAGATTAACTGGGACACAAATCAAAGGATTGTGCTACGTCAGTCTTTGTTGCACCTCTTGGAGTGCGGTCCCGCAGGATCGGGAAACGACTTCAGTGTTATCTACTCCATTCCTGAGCGTTTCTTGTGTGTATTCCGGCAGTATCTCTTATCCATTGTAGGAGCTATCCACATCCGTCTCCTCAAGCAGGTTCTGCGTACAAAACAATTTGCTCGCCCCTTGCGTCTACCGTGGCCAGTGACTGACGCTGTACGATCTTTTGATCTGTGTCCCAGTTAATCTTTGTTTGTGAGAGTTATTAGCACCTGTACACACTCTGCTACCTTCACTGACCGCGTGACTTGTCGAATCGTTTCCGTTTGAATGAAACAATCATTAATCAGCACTATCCGGCACATTCAGTATGTGATCGTCATCATGTAAAGTTTCAGACTGACGAGAGCTTGGGTGTGGTTGTAACAACCAGTGAATGCAAAACATGTTTTGGCAGCTGTTGAAGGTGAGGCTATAACTGTCATCTCGGTAGTGCTACAAATAAACAACATCGTCAAATGTGAGAAATTTGTCAAACCGCCGAAGTGTGGTGACAGTCACCAATTTTCCGTTTCGGCATTCTTCGTAGTGGGCTTTTATGCCAGTGATCTTTTTGAAGTGCATAGTTTTCGTGTGGACTTTCTTCTCGTCACCTTTGCGCCCAGGTAGTACGCACGAAGTCGGCAGCAAAACCCATCGATCGGTAGCAGTGCCGTTTTCCACAGTCGTCATTGTACCAGGTTCTAAGTGGGTAAAGAACTCCGCAATAGCTGTTGCAAACGCCACTATCGGCGTTTACACTATAACATATTTTACCACTGGCATTTCTTCAACTCCGACCTTACGCCCAGCTCTGTTCTCACGATATCCGCACAGCACACTGCGTTCACTCTTACCCTAGGCCGTAAGCTACGCTGTGTTCCTTATGGTCTCACGAACAACTGTGCGGATTCATCCTCAAATCGTCATGGGGTTTTAAAGAGATTCCGTGTTACATTCAGTACTACTTTATTGTATTCAAATACACAACTGCACGAAGGCGCTTATCCACCGTGGGGGGTGTGAACTAGTCCTAGTGGATGGAGTGCGAACTTTTTGGGCCCACCATGCATGCGTTCCAGTATTGCGGCGCACTCGATGACTTTGGCTGTGTTGTGGGTATTCCTGATCGCATTGGGTATATTACTGTCCAAACCTGTTTGAGTCACCCGAGATTTACTCCCTAATACGGGAATCTGTATGAAGATACCAAAACGTTTAGCCAGTAACTGTTCTTTTGAAGTCAAGCTCGGCCACTTGCAAGTTCTGTTAAATGAGTAGACACAGAATCCTACACACATCGGTAGGCACTTTTACTGGCTTGAGCCGGTTCGCAATGTGGCCAAGGAATCACTTTAGGTATCTAACTGGTTAACTTGCCTAGATAGTTGTACCGAGCCAAACAATCATATCACAGGACAGGTTCAGGGGAGGATAACTATGACCTATGTACGATGAGTGACGTTACACTTTGACTAGTGCTATCACAGGGATTATGGGTACGGCTAGTGCACACCGAACACACCAGGGATTCCCAAAACCCAGTAGGAGCATTTGGTATACAGTTCTGCTAGGCGGGTGCCTACCGGCTTTCATTTTGTTGTATTTCGGTTGTTGACATTTGTTTAAACGCCTCGTTTCGATAAGTTGATTGGTCGGCTTACGTTGTTCGCAACGGATTTTAGCTCATGGGCCCATTTCCACTAATACCGTGTCCTCGAACACGCGTGATTGGTTCTGACTTTTATCTATTCTCTTTCACCTGTCATTCAGCTTCTCATATGTCGTTGATTAAATCCAATGTGTTCTAGTAGCTTTGCTTCAACTGCTACCGGACCCTATTTTAGTGAAGTAGATTTCTCATGTGTACAGTTCTGTTCTGGCTCGTCTTCTATGTTCTCCTTGCGGTCGTGGGGTTCGAAAAGTCCGCGGCGATACAACAAGTCCCGTCGAGCCCCAGGTAAGAATCGGCAACAGACCACCGGAAAGTCGTTTCTGTGTACTAATTCAAGCTCTCCCGCCTTGCGATATCATTCCTTGACGCACTTTATACGTTAACTGCATTCGGGTTGGGAGAAATTAAAGGGTGGCCTGTCAACGGCATGGTGATAGTGTGTAGAAATGCTGGGTGACTGGTCGGTCAGGTTCGTAGTGTTTTGCTGATAGAAACTTCTGCGTCTTAGGTTTCATTGTTCGGCAGTTGCGGGCGAACATGTGCCGTCCGATACATCAGCGGCGTTCTTGCCTTAGGTTGCTCACGGTTCGTACCTTCCCTTGTTTCCGCAATCCGTATTTAACATCCGCAATGCGAATCATAGCATTGTGTTCATCTCAGTTTACTGAGCCCTGGTGTTAATGCGAGATTCTTTGAATGCAAACTAATAAACGGTACAAGCGAGGTCATGTTAGCAAACAAAATGTGGGATAGTAAAATCGACAGTGTCGGTTAGCTCTATTACTTTGAACCAGACGAAGCGTTCCGTTTCACTCTTTAGAACGTTAACTTTAAGCTAACTTCAGTAGATAAATGAGAAGACGAACCACTGCTTGAAACAGGAGTTTGCCTTTTCACATTTCTTGTCTTAAAATCATACGGGTCTCTTGTTTTCCTTAGATGATCGTGATGTCGAAGATCGACCGCAGGCGCAAGGGAGTGTATGGGCCACCGGTTGGCAAGACGGCCCTGTTCTTCGTCGACGACGTGAACATGCCTCAGAAAGAAGAGTACGGTGCACAACCCCCAATAGAGCTCCTCCGTATGTTGATCGACCACGGTTACTGGTGAGTTGTTTGGAATGGAAAATCTGCTAACTTATCTGCCATTATGGTTCTCATTTCATCTCCTTTCAATCTCAATGTGTAATCACAGTGAGTGATGCGTCGAATGCCTCTCGACTTTCAAACGGACTCTATTCTTATAGTGCTTGACACATGTTGAGGAAAGTATAGTTGGGACGCAGAGTTCGAGCCAAATACTGGGGCAAAGTATTTGATTAGGTTGGTATACTAAAAATGGATCTGAATTTAGTGAACTGTGTCTGAATGGTTCCCCCAACTGATGGTATGAAGGATTAGAAATTGTACTCGTTCGCACCAATCTGGCGTTATTGGCACCTGAATAGATTTCCGCTTAGTTTCCATGATGTTTCATTAACCACACTTTTCGGATGACAAGCACTACCGTCACCCGTTGGTACTCAAGGGGCTTTTGGTTGTTCTGAGACACACCAAGTGATGCTGGCTCGATCGGCATTAACTTCTTTTTCGTCAGTAGCCACAAAATACCGGAGACTTGATTCTCGTCTCTTACACACTTGCTCTTTTACACGGTATGGGAAACAAACCGGTTTGGCGGCACGTGAGGTCACGTTAAGCGGCGCCACATAATAGTTACATTCGCGGGAAATGTCGTAGTCAATTCCCTTAAGGGACACAGTTTTGCGTACTAGTGTTTCCTCCAAGTGGTTGAAACTTGCTCTCTGTCGGTTCTCATAAGCGACGAAATATCAGCGTTTGGAGGGCTGCACCCGACATCGATATATCTTCCAGTGGGGCACTGGTAGTCGTAATACGTAACGGCATACGGACTCTGTTTAGTCCCGCAACTCATCGCGCCCTGCAAGGGAGCTAGGACAACTGCAGCCACGCTAATTGGTTTGACTAGCTGTGCTTATTTGCGCTCCGGCGTTATGGATAGAAGAGGCGGAGAGGTCAAACAATGGCTTCCTCAAGAGGAATGAAGTTCCTCACTTCGAAGTTGGCGTCGGCTGGTACCTCCCGACTGCCGGGATTTGAGCCGAATGACGATGAGCACGTTTGACTGGATACACTTGTTAAAGTGGTTAGGGGTCTAGCTCTGTGGCGTTCGTGTTGTGCGTCCTTTTGTCCATCCCCCTCCCGCTTAGCCTCCCCATCTACCTTGCACCATCTCCTTTTATAGGCACAATATAATTCTTTTTTTGTGGCACTATAGCCGGCTGGTAGCGTTCTGGAACGAAGCCAACCCCTTACTGTTTCCTCAGCTGGCGTGCCTCCGTTGCAGGTTTTTCTTTTTTTATGTATTGCGGCACGATACCTAAGGTGTTTTCTACCTCTAGCTATGGTGTATAATGGTGGTGATGTTTTACCTGAGCCTGTCCGTAGGCGAGCTAACGTGCTTCAAAGAAATCACGTGCGAATGCATTTTTCAGATTGCCATTCAAGTGGCATAATTCACACATTGAATGAACGTAACTTGATTCTAGTCAGTCGCAAATGAACCCGAGAAATTTGTCTGCCGGGACTTCAGTTGTCTTCGTGTGCTTTACTTTCGAATGTACCTATTTACTGGGTGGCTAGGAATATTTCGACGGAAGTGTTCCTGTCATGCTTGAACTAAGGCACGAGTTCCTAGTTTAGGCTACCATTCACTCTAAAACCGCTTCAATCACGCAATGTACCTGAAGTCAAAGTGCGCCTGATGGGTAGGTATCAATGCCACTTTATCCTTACTTTCGTGTTTCATATGGACCCATGATAAACATTCTACCAAGGTCTTACGAGAATACCGTTTGTCAGCTGGATTTCCGGAACATATGCATGTTTCTAGAGCGTTTCTGACCGCAAACTCGTACCAAAACCTGCCACCTATTCCGAAGTGTACTCAGGCAACTCAAGTGCCGGCTCGCAGTACGAATGTTTCAAGGAAATTATCTGGTGCATTTACATGTGCAAGTGAAAACACACGTCTTTGTGACAGTGTAAAATCCAGAACCACGGGTCACGCAACAGCCCGTCACATAATTAAGTGAGAACTCACTCACCCATTCAGGGCTGTCATGTTTAGATATGGAAAATAAAGATTAAAGGGATCTGTAATCGCGGGACCCGTATATCTTCTACAAACTTTACTGAATATGGGCAACAGGCAAACCAACCTCCACCCGCATGGAGCATGCGCCTATTAACGGGTTTGGAGTGAACGGAATTTATCCTCACGCAATGGTTAGCTCCGCTTGATGATACCAGGAGTGTCCAAACTTTTTGCAAGATTGGCCATATCCAGTCTGACATTAAGATAACAGCAAAACGTACACATGTACGAAATAAGTCCGAGTCTGTATTTATTATTTCATGATGAGGCCGCGGTCCAGTTGAAATGTTAACGCGGGCCCTAATTGCCCTGCGGGTCGGCCTTTGGGCACCCCTGGATTCTACTGTACGCATGCTGCGGAACTTTCCCGACGAAACCCATCAAGAGAGATGAGAATGGGCTACCTTATTCTTTTGCATGGTGGTCATGTAGTGCGCTGTTACGGCACATTTTATCCGATCATCGTAAACAAATATAGACATATTTTACGATAGGAGGTAACTCATACCAACTTCTCCGTTAGATCAGTGATTATACAAACTTCCAACGAGGTAAAATGCTACAAGTTAGTACGTAACAACCGACTGTCGTTAAATGCACACTGCATCACAGGGGTAATGTTAGCGAACCGTATGGACAGGATAATGGTTACGAATAGGGGAATAACTTTTCTGCATTGCGTATTTGTTCACCGTGTGTCTCAGCTTTAACAGTGGATTTTCTGGGTGCAAACTGTAGCGTTAATCGAATGCTCACAAAGTTTCGGCAAAACATGTGTTTGGTGTTGATGCGTTGTCAACTTTCTCTAGGTATTTTGGGCTCTTTTTCGAGTAATTATGTATTTATTAATGAGTGACCATAGACGTTTTAATGGACTTCAGCTGATAAGATGTAATTTAACGCAGCACGCGAGCGGGAATCACGAAAACAACTGAAAAAACATAGAAAGGTAACGAGGTGTTTGGTCGAGTACACACACGTGAATTTGTCACCTAATAACAGACTGTCCACCTCGGTTGTAAATGTACCAGATTCGCACCATTGTCTCGAATACCAGCTTACGGGATGAGTTAGAATTATGCTTAGCCGGTACATAGACAGTAAAACCGTGATTGATGAAAATACTGCTGGTTCCCTTGCACGTGAAAAGCGTAGAAGTTAGGTGATGAAATCGACCACGAATGCTCTGAAAATTGAGCACTAAAAAGTGGGCTAAGAGGTTAGCGGCTAAATAAATGTAGGCTAATCGTCCGTGTTGCAGGTGCACGTGTAGCACGGTCTAAACACAGTGGAATTATCAGTATCGGTGAGGGCAACATGACACATCGGTCATTCGTCCTCATTGTTCGTTTCAAGTGATGTCACGTGCGTGGTTTGACCAGGAATTCCTAGTCAACACTAGCTAAAGTGGGAGATAAAGTAACAGGGCAGGGAGGGAAAATACAAGCAAGTTACGGGAGAAGGGATTAACAGCTAATCAGCGTCTACCGACTGCTTGTGATCATGCGTTGCATCTTGTGGTGGTAATGGAATTACAAACTAAGTTGCTTCAGAAAGAGAAGTGCAATGCAACATCCCTTGAACGAATATCGGTGCTGGAGTTGGTCATAACTGTTAACCTAACTAAGCACCGATGGATGAACGCTATAAGTTGGGCTACAAATAAGCCAGACGAATGCAGAATCCTACTCGTGAGTAGCAGGAATTTAGATGTAATTTTTGAGGTCTTCATCCCAGTAGCTCACAAGCCACATAGCACAGCCTAATCCGGAAAAGCACAAGACACGTTTCACCCTATTGGGGCTCGTCAGTGGTGCGCATTCCCTCGGGCTCCTACTGGGGGTCGAACCCATGACCGCTAGATGCAGAATGCCACCTCTCCCTACCAATGCCGCTTTGTATGCATCGTTCATTAACCGAAATAATCCAAGCGATTGACAGTTCAGTGGACTACCTTAAACCAACGAATTGAAACTAATACCAGCAATTGGCACATTTATCGAATTTGCGAAAATATCTCCTATGGCCATCCCACTCCGAGTCCGATATCGTCCCCATCCTATGCGTTTGACTGTTGGTAGGGTTCATGAGTGATGTATCTACTACTGAGACAGAGTAAACCACAACTCATGCTCTGCTGACCTGCATACCTGCTTCTTATGATAACAACACAATTCCAAATATCATTATGAGTGTCCTCATTTAAGGGAGGCGCCATAGCCACTGAGTTGCTTAATGCTTTCAGACTACTTACTGTTTATTTCAACGCTGCAAGATAACACAAGTGAAGGTTGCAGTTTAATTGGCAGATATCACTCAACCCCATCTAAGAGGTGGGTGATCATGGCTCCCATGGTTTTACGAACGAACTGTTAACATCCGCATCACCATGGATATGTGGGCTCCGCACAGCCCTTCACGTGCACATCCTCTTCAACTGGAACATGGAAGCGCCATTTAAGGCCCATAACCCCGAAATATGTTCAGCAAAATAAACTACAGAAGTCTGTTACAGTAGAAACGCTACCATCTCTATTTTTACAGATCCTACAAACGGGTATTATTTGACGCTCGCACACTGAACCTGCGTGAAACGAGTCCTATTGGCAGTCTACATTTGCAGAGTTCCTGGCGATTTTTGTATCAGAAGGACGTAGATGTAACAGAAGTATATTTTAGGAGGCACGTCGAACGTACAACTGCCAAGGTCGTAAAAGCACTCACAAAATGTCCGCTAATCACTCAGCGTTTAGCGTTCCGCCAATCAGGATAAGCCTAGTGTAGCGAATCACGACACCACTCTACCCGTCGAAAAACTTGCCTCATGCGGGTTGGTATCGATCAATTGGCTTTTTGCATGGCTGGACCTGAGTAGTTCACGTAACGGTAGAGCCGGCCATGGCTGTTTCACAGGTATCTTGGCTAGACT